CATAAATTGTTTGCTTGGAAAATTGGATTTAATGTTTGATGCCTTCAGACTTATTTTAGCTTCAGTTATAGGCTGAAATAAGAATTTACCCAGTAGAATTCTTGTTTGGCCTAACTTAAAAATTATTATTCAGTAATACTATATTTTGACAGTATTGTATCCCATGTTGCAAGATATACTGTATTTTGAAATTATGTCATACATAACTTTGTGTGCTTTACCCATGAATAAAATTATACTAAAATAACATAATATGAAATAAAACTAGCTAGTAATGTTTGAGAAGGATTAAATTAGACATTGGGTAAGAATATGACCATGATAATTATCATGCGATATTGGAAGTATAATTCTGCTTGTCAATATCTATAGTTGTCTACTCAAATTGTTTTGTCTATTTCACCTTTTTCTTTTTAATCTACTTTCATATTATGTATGGTTTGTTTATAACAATATTGCTAGTTTATATTGCTATTAGATTGCTAATACTTAAGTGGGACTATATGGTTGCTGATATTTCTGTAACACTGAAAATTACATTACTACTTTATTTAATACAACAAAATAAAAGGGAATCTTTGTATGGTGGAATTGAAAATTTTGGACTTTTTTCTTTCACTGGAGGGTTTGGGCTTTCAGGAGCAAAATGGCATCTTTTTGAGAGTTAAGAAGGAAGATACATTAAAGCTTTCTAAAGCTTAAAGCACCAGTTTTGCTACTTAAGACCAACAAACACAGAAAAGAATTCAGAAACGTGATCCTACCCATTCTAATAATATCCCATTACCAGGCAGTATACATTCTTCAGTCATCCATCAATATCAGGAACATGAAGCAATGGGTCCATTTTAAAGTACTTGCCCTCTACTTGCAATTTCCCATAATAAGATTTCATTTCGTTGAATTGTCTTCTCATTCTTTTGTCAGCAGTCACTGTATTTAGGAAATAGTACTGGAAAAAATGACTTAACAACTAGTCTTTACACTTTTGACCACCATGGTATCCCTGTGATCACATGACCATGTGATTTGGATGCTTGGCAAATAGCATGTATTTATTATGGTTGCAGAGTCCCAGAATGTTTATAATTCTTCCTGTTTTATACTTGCATGTTAACACCACCACATTCTCTTATGAAACAAACAGAATTTGGGTCACAATGAGGCAAAGTTGCTTTCATCATTTTAATAAAGGTGCTAGACTCCTGTAGATGCTTTGGGTGTAACCAATTCACAGATATGGAAGATTCTATAGAGCTACAGTTAAAGCCCCTTTAGTCTTTTACTAATTCATAATCAGGCAGGAAATGGCATAATCCTCATCCTATGGTATTACATTTGAAACCAAATGGTCCTATCTGCTGTACCTGGTAACTTATAAGACTTGATTGGCAAGCAGGGGACCAAGGAGACTCAGACACTATTCTGGATATGAAGTGATAGTAGATAAGATTGTTTTAAAGGAATGGGGAAAAGAGAGGCCATGAACACTTATTTTTTCCTGTTCTATCTACAACTTTCCTCAATCTCTAACCTTGATTTTGCCTGTCTAGTCTATGAGAGTAAGGCCATCTTCTAATTAGAATGCACATTGTGGAGAGAAGCTAAAACATAAATAGGGCTATTTGGAAATAGCAAGTAGCTTTCCAATACCAGTATTCATAATAAATCAACTAATAGTACCATCTGCTTGGATGGAAGCTGAAGCATATTCATCATCAATAAGTGCACTTAGATCCTGGAATACATTTGTTTTGTAATCCAATTGTTTGTACTTCGGATTGCATTGTGAGTTTTTCCTTATAACCTCTTGACCTTTGCCTCACTGTGATCACATCTCTGTTTCAGTTTTCACAAATCCTCACTGTTATATTGTTTGTCTCTTTGACCTCTTATTCACTACAACACTTATCCCTCAAATCCAGTCCACTGGTAGGAACTGACCTAATTTGAATGGCCTTGCCTTGCACATTAACTGAGAGTGTCTCTTTAATTTTAAAGATTGTACAGATTTTAAAAACACAGATTGATCATATATGACCTAATCATATCTAGTGGTCTCTTGGTTGAAAAGAATTCAGTTCAATGCTGGTTCAATTCTAATGCAATGATACTATGATTTTGTATGGTATTAATTTTTTTATAATTTATTATATTTTACTTTTTGGATATACTTATTCATCAATATTTAAGCATATTTTGAATCTGAAGATTTTATTGTGTTGAGGTGTGGAAAAAATGTATTCTTAGGAAAACAGCTAGAAGGAAGAAAATAATTCTTAAATACAAATCTAAACAAGTTGCAAGACAATGATTGTTTACAGTGGCAGTTTCCTTTTTGCACACAATTGTAGCCAAAAAGGAAATCTTTTAACTTTAGCCTTTTAAAGAGAGATAAACTATTTGAAACAATGTTTCATATGCCTACATATCCATAGTATTTGTAATTTTCAAAGACACCTAGATTTTAAAAAAACAGTCTAATAAATGTATCTAAGCAAGCATAGATATTTTCAAAGTAAAGATTCATATACAAATTCAATTGTTGCCATAAATATAATCCTTCCAAACTGCAGGTTTTGCAATAAAGAATAAGCAGTGAAATGTAAAAGGAGTTTATGTAAATAATATCTTGGATTGGCAGTCCAATCTCTTCTTGAAAGTCTCAAGTGATGAAGCTCCCACAACTTCCAAAGGCAAGCCGTTCCATTGGTTGATTGTTCTCATGATCAGAAAGTTCCTCTTTGTTTCTAGGGTGAATCTCTCCCCAGTTTCCATTATTTTGTGTAAATCTTTTCTAATTAGTGGCCATCATATTGAGACAATGTTAGGGAGAGGTCCTCAGGAATGAATTTAATGTGAATGCTGAAGAAATATTCTTAGGAAAAACCTTGAAAGAACTCTAATTCTAGAGTAGAAAAAATAGGAATAGACAATTGGAAATGAATATTTATCTAAACCCAATAGCCCTTGTTAGTACATTTTAGACTACAGAGAATTAGATATAACTTGATTCCAAAATACTATGATAATGTATCCGTGTAATGGCAGCAAGCACTGTTATATTATTAGATTACTTTAGAAGACTGTTTCTCAACTTTGGCAATTTTAAGATACCATATTTTTCACACTCTAAGATGCATCGGACCATAAGATACACATTAGCTTTTGAGGAGGAAAACAAGAAAAAAAATCTGTCTCTGCCTCCCAGCATCCATCCGGTATTCATCTGGCTAGCATCCTTACAGCAAACAGCAAACAGCCTGATCAGCTTCAGCACATTATCGCAGGGGCGGAGTGTGTGTCTTATAGTGCAAAAAAATACAGTATATAGTTTTAAATTCCGAGAATCCTCAACTAGCATGAAAAATTCTGGGAGTTGAAGTTTACACATCTTAAAGTGTTGTGAAGTAACAGCCAGGACAGAAGGAGAGATCAAGCAGGAAATTAGTCCTGAGAGCTTGTTCAGCTGCAAGAGACATAAATCTGACCCAAACCTCACCTCAAAATCTATGAAAACTTATTTGCCTCTTCTCAGGGGAAGGAAGGCAATCTAGAAGATTCTTGTAATATGAACCCAATAAAGTCCAACAAAGAAGTCAATAGAATGGCTCTATTTGCTTATGCCAGGCATAAAGTTTTCAAAGTTGGGAACACCTGCTCTAAACAGTAGAGTATACCAAACTCATACTTAGAAATGTTTAGTTTTTTTCAATTGCTTGTTCAGAAATAAACAGTATTAGTTTATTAGCTAACCAGCTCAATAGCCCAAATGCTGTGAACCTTTTTTAAAAACCCACAATAATCTTAAATTACTAAGGAAACAAGTTGCTCTAATAAAGTCCATGAAACTCAGTGAAGCGTCATCCTTGTTGAACCATTTTGGTTCCACACCCTTCCTAGACAACAGGATTTCACAGCAAAGTACACATGTGATCAGTTCCCAAATATTGTGTATATGAGATATGGGGCTCATTTTTCAGGGAAATATGCTAAGGAGAAAATGGCTGATATTGATAGGCCTGGCTCCGGGTTCAAAGGTTTCAATGGCTGGCTCTTGTGCACTAGTTTGTTTTCTTATCCTAGTAAGGACAGTAATCAATAGTAATAATACATTGCTTAGTACTGATAGTGAATATAGTACATTTGGTATATAATGGCATATTGAATCTTAGCCAAACCTCCTAAAGAGTTTTATATGCATTTTATGTATTTTTGAATTTTGTTTATTGATATGGAAATAAAATTTCACCCCATTAAATACTTGATAATGAAAAAATAGTTAAAAGCATTTCTTTCTCTCCCTGGAAATATCTATGTAAATGATATTTGTATTAATCCTGTTAAATAATATTATTGAAAGTATAAAAACCCATTCTACGTAAATGTTTGCCTATAAATAAAAAATACTGAGTTAAACAAATGCAATAGTAGGATTTTAAAGAGATATCTTTAAACAATCTTATCATGGTGCCTTAGTGCAATTAACACAAAGTGCAAAAGACATTGTAGCAGTTTTTTCAGGATATTGAAGGACATTAGATATATTCCTCTGTTAAATTTATTTATTTTTAGCTTTCCTGCATTTAATAAATCAGCTACAAAACACTATATTTTGCCTTCTATTTTAAAGAAAAACATTATTAATTTGAAAGTATTTAAAACTATTATACATCTAGACTCAGATAAAAGGCTACAAGTAGAGATGAGTCTATACAGAGAGAATAAGGTAACCCAAACATAAGATCACTTCATAGTCTTTTTTAAAAGATAAAGTTCAAAACAAAATGATACAAGAATATTTATCAGATTATTATTACAGTAGATATGTACTGCATTTAAATGAATACTTTACTTTCAGAAAAAACAGTATTATTGCATGACAACAAATAAAGGAAAATGGTTTTTTTTAGTTTTTATCTTTTCAATTATATCATATAATTAACTATATATACATACAGAATTATATGATATATGTAATGGATTTATTTTTCTTTCAGGGTCTTCATTTTGGTGCCTATTGGATGTTGTCCCAATTAAGAATGAGAAAGGTGATGTTGTTCTGTTTCTATCTTCTTTCAAAGACATAACAGATACAAAAATAAAGATTTCTCTGGAAGAAAAAAAAGATGGTAGGTATGATTTTTAGGACAAAAACAAAGATTTTCAGAGCACAATATGTGATGTGTGTGTGTGTGTGTGTGTGTGTGTGTTGTTATTGTTGAGGTTGTTGTTGTATGGCTGTTTGTTGTTTGTATGGCTATATGCAAAAGGGCCATGAATTCATATCATTCTAACGTCACAAGGATCTTTTATTTATATTCTGATTGAATTAAAACATTATTGCCGAGATACAGAATTACACACTTTCCTGTTTTACCAAAAGTAAATGAGCACTGAATCAATGCTAAAAAAAATCATATACAGTATTGAGGAATGCTAGAAGAAATTGTTTGGTACTTTTATTCTCTTTGTATAAATATCATGTACGCAAGTCAAAGAAACAGCATTGCTCACAGTCCTTTATTCAGTTTAAGGAACTATGGGATCAGATGGAGGAGGAAATGGGATGATTTTATTTCTAATACACTAAACTTGGATTAGACTAAGGTGCCTTCCAACTGTGTGTAACAATATGATCTATTTCTTAATCAGTTCAAATTAATAATTTGAGTTATGATCATGAATGTGATCAAAATAAAACAATCTGCACTGAGGAATGTGCTTTTGATGTTACTTTCACAAATTGTCTAAATTTGTTTGTCTCATGTGCTTCATCACTGCTGGGGCAGGACAAGAGATGCTGTCAGTAGCGTAGTATTGGCCTATTCCCAATTACAATCTTTTACAGATTTTGTCTGAAACACAGAGTGGATAATAAATCAAGCTAATATGGTACTTCTTATTGCATATTTAATAGAGTAGAAGCAGATGCTCTTGTATAGCTATTAATTTTATGATGAAATAAGAGATACTTTCATAACTTTTTTAAAATACATACATACATACATACATACATACATACATACATACATACATACATACATACATACAATTATACCAGGCAAATTCACTTTTGCCATTTTATTTTGTTAACGCTTAACTTTTCTGCATACATGAATCTTTGCTGATAAGTAGTGAACCTGAGCAGTCTTGTTATGATTAGTTGTCCAATTGGCTATAAAACAGTAAGAAGTTGAGAGAATCAGTTACCCACTCAGACAACAAGACTCTAACAAAAAGTCTCTGGAGATTGTTAATCATACAGGTCATGGTTGTCCCAAAGGTGCCTTTTCAAACAGCAACTAGATTTTGTTTGTTTTCCTTGAACACTTCTCATCCAAACAGATTCTTTAGTTCTGACTGAATGGTGGGGAATTAAAGGATTTATATGTACATGGTCTTAATGTAGATGGCCTGTATGACCCTCTTTCAAACCAACTGATTTGAAAGAAAGGGTCAAAGAGGCCATCTACATTAAGACTGAATTTTCAACAGAGGGATACAACACTACCTATTTCCTGTCTACAACACAGTCCTTTGAGCAATTCCAAGAAGGTTCCATATCTATTTGCATTATTCAGGCAACCCTGAGGGCACCGTTAAACCTCCAGGTGGCCTCACAACTCTCAGAAAGAGTGCTAATAACCAGATGAATGCAAGAAATTTAAATCCTTCCATTCTCCACCATTCAATCAAAACCGAAGAAGCTTCTTTGATGAGAAGCAAAACTTCTTCAAGCAAAACAAAACAAAAAGAAAGTCCAGTTGTCTTTTGAAAAAGCAACTTTGGGATTTTCACAAAAAGACTTTACATACGTTACTTATTAATGAAAATTTCCATTTCTTTCTAACTAGCAGATTGCTTTCCTCCCAATGTGCAAGAGGTTTTGGTTGTCAAAACCAACTCATGAATTTTTGTCTGATTGTGAACAGACATTAAACAGAATCTGGTGGATACTTGAATTATAGCTTACTCTATTTTAGTTAATTAATTAAATTAGTTTCATCTATATAGTCAATAACACAAACTCTTAATGTCATGATCTTTAACTGTTTAAAATGGTGCAGCATTTTTTAACCAAGGTATCTCAATTAAATTATAAAATATATCCAAACTCCTGGATCTATGAGGGAATGAAATTTGGGGAAGTCATATACTGGCTGCAGATTTGCTGCTGCTACAGTGATCATTGATCTTTATTTTCAACATTCCATGACAGTTTTTTAGTTCCTTGTTCATTTCCCTATCCAGCAGAAGCATTTAGCATCTTCTGAGGAGGGGAGGGAAGGAAGAAAAGGGAAGAATTATCTGCTTTTTAGTCCACCTTTGGTAATTTCACCAGTCTTCTGGGATCCCCAGACCTGATGACAAAACTGGGTTTTGAGAGATTTCCAGAAAGTTAAAAGGAGAGGTGCCAGCCTCACTTTGGGAATAAAGACTGTTGCTAGATCAGGTTTCCGAAAATAGCCACCTCTCTCTTTCTTTTCTCAGAAATATTCTTTAAATGGGGTAGGGAACTTTACAAATCTTTATTGTTTTGAGCAAAAACTGTAGTCCAATTACTAAAAATCAATAATTAAAATTATTAATTACATTTGTAATTCAGGACGGGAGCTTTAAAACAATATCTCAAATCTTAAAAGGACATAATATACTCTGGGAACTTGTTCTGTAAAGTTCCTCTCTAAGAGCAAAATTAAATATAAACCAAACCTGATGGAAAATCTCTTCAAAAGTTCCTTTACAAAGGATGCTCTATGATTGAGCAGTGTAGTTTGCAAATATGTTATTCTGTTAACATTCTGCATGAACATAGTGCTATCCTATGCTCATTATTCAATGGAGGCTTTTTTTTTAAAAAAAGAGAGACTATTATTATGACATGGCATGTTAATGAGGTAACACCATGGCAATCATATAATCATTCCCACAGAAAGTAAAATACGGCTAAATAAAAAGTATTTTCTTCATCAATAAAACTTTGTATTTAACCAAATTATAAATTGAAAAGAATAATGGGAAGGAGGAGAAATATCCAGCCATACTGGGTGTCCCATTGTAAATCTATTACCTGGTAAATGAGAGACAGACATGGCATGTATTTACATCTTACTTCAACCTGTCTTTCAGCAATTTAAAAATAAAACAAAAAATAGATAAAAAATAAAAATAGGAGTCAATTTTCAGCACACCCCTTAAATGTATGGTTGCCAGCATTCCTTCTGCTTCATCCAGAAGTGTGAGTTGAGTTGAGTTTATTATATTTCTATGCCGCCCTATTCCCCGGAGGGGACTCAGGGCGGCTCACAACCAAGTCAGGGGGGGGGGGGGTACAAATAAGAAAAAAGAACACAAACAAAACAATACCACAATTTAAAACACTCAACAACCATACCATTCGAGGGGGAACAAAAAACTCATTAGCCCCAGGCCTGTGGGAACAGCCAGGTTTTAAGGGCTTTGCGGAAGGCCTGGAGGGTGGTGAGAGTCCGAATCTCCACGGGGAACTCGTTCCAAAGACTGGTCATACTAGACTCAAACTTGTGTTGTTTTGGTGTGCATTTACCTTAAGACTTACACACATTGATAGAACTCATTTCACTCTTATACTCTGAATATTGCTAACTCCATCTGCTTTCAAAGTATGACCCTTGATATGGAATAGAAAAACTGAAGCATACTTTAAGGTTATAAAAGCTATATTTACTTTAAAATAATTTTTGCTTGTGCCTGTAATTGCATATTGCAGTAAAAGATTTATTGGCATTATTATTAATAAAGTTATTGACGAGACATGCCTAGCCATTTATGCTGTACCATTCTGCAGCATGCTTTCATGGGGATGTATTATTTCTTCTCAAAGTCTTACATAAGATTTCTCCCTGCAACAATTTCATCTCTATAAACTCAGCCACATTGCTTCAATACTTTGAGATGCAGCAAGCACTGTTTTAAAATGTGATATTTTTTTAGAAAAGCTATGAACAAATAACTAGGTTTGCTCCTGAATTATGTATAAGCATATTGGTCTATCATCTTCCAGGGACTAAAGCTTCACTGCAGGAGATAAACGGTTTCTCAAATAAGAAAGGTCAGGTAATAAACAGAGAACTAGATTCTGATGCTAAACTAACTGTATATCAAGGGATATATTTCAGAAGCATGTCATAAAAAGGAGAATCTTCAAATGCATTATGGAAGAAATGAAATCAAGTTCTTTGTCTCAGAATTGATGAAACTAATGGTAATTTTTTTTCTGGTTTTGGCAGCTGATTAGCAATAACTGCTTTAATGATATGGTTTCCTTCAGAACTTATATTATTTGTTTTCCACAATCCTTAAAATAAATATTATGCCAATGAAAACAGTTTCTACATTTAGAATTCATAACTATTTCTTTGTATATTGGCACACTTCTTGGAGTTTCTTCTTGGAGTTTGAAGCTTCATTTTTTTAAAAAAAAAATGTAAATGGAGACCAGAGAGAATAAAATAGAATAGGGTATATGCATATAAATGGTATCACTGAAGGCTGCATATTGACTTCCACTCATATTCACCAGTACTTATTTCTTTGAGATGGCTGGCATATAAATTTTATAAATAAATTAAAAATTAACTCATTGATAGAAATTAATTTTCAGTTTCGATTTATATAGCTGGGCATCTCAAACACATAAATTTTGAGAGCTAGCAGAAGATTAAAGCATGTTAAAAATACCATATAAAGAAAATAAATAATAAATATTGTAACCAAGATAAAATGATATGGAATAATGAGATAAAAGAGATGGGTTCAACTGCACACCATATACACAATTGTTCTTTTGTGTTTTGTTGCTACCCAAATGCTGCAACAGTTGCTTCCTGGAACTTGAGTGAATAAATTGGGAGGAGAAAGGAAGAAGGTCAACTTTGTGTTTCTGCTTTGGATTTTCTATTGAAGCATAGGTTTTCTGCACCTATCCATCCCCCAAAATAAAATATCCTAGGTAGAAATAGTGGCAAAGCTGCCTCTATGAGTACAGGTGATGAACGAAAGTAATTCACCATGCTACTTTACCTAAATTACAGAAAGAAGAGAATGTGTGAATTCCTGCCAGCATGAATCTGCCTTTTCCCGTCAACTCCCGTTAAAGACTACAAAACTGTTTTAAGGCATTTACTCTGAAGCAGGCACTAGTAATATAAGTAGACCTTGCTTACAGACTGCCCTATGTAGCAACTGTTCAAAGTTACATTGGTCCTGAAAAATAACTATGCAATCAAATTGTGCATTTATGACTTTCATATTGTCTCTCAGTCACATGTTCATCATTATAGTTACTACACATTCTCCTGTTTTCTTTTTTTTTCTGCATCTCAAATAGCAAAGAGATAGGAGACAATGAAATTATATAAGAATAAGAAGGCACCCAATGGGAAATACATATTGAAAAATGTGCTAGTACTAGGGCATTGGGGGGGGCGGCGCTGAGAGCATGCTAGTGACACATGCATTAGCACATTCCATTCAATTTGCATTTTCCATTATGTGCTTTCTTATTCTCTTTTAATCTTTTCCTCTTCAGTAAATGTAAATATAATTGTTAATTTCCTTCTTACTAATTATCCAGTGCTGGGTCAAAATTTGAGGAAGTGGAGAAAAAAGAAGCTGCTGTCAAATCATAAGCATAGTTGCACTCATGTGATTTTCCACTTAGCAATTGAGTTGGTACTCCCAAATGTGGTTGCTAAATGTAGACTCTCTGTAAAGAAGTCCTCTGGTATCATGAAGGAGCTTACATGCAGAAAATAGAACTAAATCCAAAATTCATATCCTAATCAGCTCTGGGATTATACTTCTTAAAGGTTTTGAACATCTAACATTTAGGTTGAAGGCTGACATTTCAGAATTGTCATAATTAAATCCCAGATAATTCTGGATGCTAGGAGAGAGCCCAGGGAACAGAACTGAAAAGAAAGTCTAAAATTTGCACAATCTGAACATTGCCCAATCTGCATGGGTAACAGAGCACAATTATGTATGACTTATACTTTTTCAGCCACAGATTGTAGAGTATTATACAAGACTTGGATTGCTTCCCAAAAGAAACATGCCTATACTTTTCCTTGCTTAGTTTTTAGAAGAAATACTAGACCTACTTTCTTATTCAGCCTCCCCCTGCCTCCCGTGAGACAGATGTATTGACCTATTTTTTTAGTAGTACTAGGCTGTCTTTCTGATAAATCTGTCCTCAGCATTCTCTTCTAATTGTGAAGCATTACAAACATATCAATACTTAATAACAGTTACAAGAGTAACTGTAATATAAACTATCAATATGAAGTGTAAAATATAAATTATGAAATATGAATTATGGATTTATGCATCTTTAAATTCAAACTTATATTCTTAAAAGGTATTTGATTTAACACAAAAGAAAAACTCAAATTTCTCATTAGTCTTTAGCCTGAGTTCCTAGGATCTATGGTATTAATTCTATAATGGGAATTAATACCATAATACCAACTGGGGATGTTGACAAAGACAAATATTGACGCTCCAACAAAGATTTAAAAAATGTCACAGCTTTAATCGCACAATCATAGCTGCCATCTTGATTCTTCTGAACCCCCTCCCCCCTGCAGGCAGCCTTGTTACTTTGTTGCTGGCAAACCACTTTGGAAGCAGGAACATGATTATATCTTTAAAGAACATTCTTAATTTATGTTTCCAATATCATGCTTTGCTTACATAAAGTTCATTTTAGCATCAGGCTAACAGCCTATGATTCCCCTGTCACTGCTGTTTAAACAGTTTGTGAATGCACGAATGAGAAAAAAAGAATGTCCAAGAGGCCATTATTTATATAGAAAAATGTTGAATAATGATAAACAACCCTAAGGCAGATATTATTAAATAAAGAGTATTACCTTGAGAACTAAATGGAAGAAAAAGTATACATAATAGCAATAGCAATAGCAGTAGACTTATATACCGCTTCATAGGCCTTTCAGGCCTCTCTAAGCGGTTTACAGAGAGTCAGCATATTGCCCCCGCATTGCAGGAGGTCATCGCAGCCTGAAACAGAGCTTGGGAGCCCGTTTTCGCTGCCAGAGGGTTGCAGGAGGCTGTTGCAGCTGGAAATAGCAATAGCAATAGCAGTAGACTTATATACCGCTTCATAGGCCTTTCAGGCCTCTCTAAGCGGTTTACAGAGAGTCAGCATGCTGCCAGAGCATTGCAGGAGGTCATCGCAGCCTGAAACAGAGCTTGGGAGCCCGTTTTCGCTGCCAGAGGGTTGCAGGAGGCTGTTGCAGCTGGAAATAGCAATAGCAATATAGCAATAGCAGTAGACTTATATACCGCTTCATAGGCCTTTCAGGCCTCTCTAAGCGGTTTACAGAGAATCAGCATATTGCCCCCAACAATCTGGGTCCTCATTTTACCCACCTCGGAAGGATGGAAGGCATTTAACTACTGCGCCTCCTCGGCTCATACTGAATCCAGTATTTCCCTACAAAATCAAAATTCCAACACTAGACATTTTCCTGTCACTCTGATTTAAAAAAAAATAGCAATTGCTATT